TCTTCTCAATATGGTCCGTACGCAGATATACATACCATTAGAAGGGAACAGACCAAACCTAGTGCAAACTGCTTGGGCTATGATGGGTTTGATTCATGCCGAAGCAGGTCAAATATTTTCAATCTTACACTTGCATTTATTTAAAGTACAACGAAATTATCTTGAAACCTATTTTTTCCTATGCTGTATCTGTACAACAGGCCGAGAGAGATCCTACACCTCTTCATCGTGCTGCGAAACTTATCATCACTTCGCAACTTGAAAATGGGGACTTTCCGCAACAGGTAATTTTCAAACATCCTCTTTGACAGATATATGAATATCTGGTGAATCTTACATACGTCGTGAGATTTAGAATAATCTTACCTACTTTTTCGTATCTTTGTATTGCCTACCACTTCATACTTTGTACTAATAAAATCAGGTCTAATTAATGTGTGTATATACTGAGTTCAATTATTATTTGTTAATGTTATGTGTTTTTGCAGGAAATATTAGGAGTATTCATGAATACATGCATGCTACACTATGCTACATACAGAAACACCTTCCCCTTATGGGCACTCGCTGAATATCGAAAAGCTGCCTTCTTAACTCATCAAGATCTATAGCTCTTCCTGAATAATCTTTAAAAGAAATTTGGCTCTTCTTTAATAATCTATACACAATTCTGTAAATATAAAAGAAAGACAAAATAATATTATTAGGAGAGTGAAGTCATAATCTGAGAGACGAGGGTTGATATTTGCGCCTAGCAAAATGTTAGTAGACTTGATGTTCTTATGCAATATTAGAGACTGTGAACAGTTATGTTAACAAGAAAGGTAATGAAAGAGCGTTTTCGTTTGATTTTGTCGATCTAAGAACATACTCGACGGGGATCGAGTGGTTCTCAAGACAATTCTTGGGAATTTTCGGACAAATATTTTTTTCTTTCTCTTTAATATTCTTGGGAATTTTTGGACAAATATTTTTTTCTTTTTGGACAAATATTTTTGGTATTCTATAGTTTTTTTTTGTTGTCAAAAGTCGTATTCTATAGTTTTCTTTCCCAATCCTAAATTACATTTTTATTATTTATAATTCCTAGAAACTAATATTGTTTATTTTTCTTTACGTTTGCATTTTAGATTTTATAATAAGTAGCTTCCTATGTTAATTCATAGCTTTATAAAAGCATTTTATTGTAATTTTGTACATGATTTTAAATTTGTTCTCTTTCTTTGTTTTTCTTATTCATTATTTCTATAGTGTTTACACATCATCTATTCTTTTCGTTTTTGTCATATGAAATTCATTCCAAACCAACCTTTGTCCACAGCACAACACTCACAAATAGAGTGTTACAACCATAACAAATGAAAATGCAAAAAAAAAAAAAAAAAACACACAAAGATAACAATTAATCTCCTTCATGAGGAACTAAATGTTTATTGCCCATAAGTATAAATACAAAATTGGAATTTATCTCCATTTGATTATGTCACCACGATAACAACAATATGTA